CCCTGCCCTGTGCCTGCCGCTAACAAACTAAATATTCTGGGAGGATTCTGCTCTTCTGCCTTTTTGACTTTCAGTTGTGGAGAGGCCCTGTCAGAATTTGGCGGTGTGCCTGGGGGCAGCTCCTTGTGCTCTTGGGGATGTGTGAATATGAGTGTGTGCGACTTACAAACCTTTTTGTTTCAGGAAAGTATCTCAGACAAAAGAGAATCGACTTCCAGCTGCCTTACGACATCCTCTGGCAGTGGAAACACAATCAGGTACTAGCTAAAAAGTTCCTGGGTTGCCAAGATTATGATCAGAAGTCTTAGAAAGAAAAGAGCAGGATTCTCACACGAAAGTGATGTTTATATATCCCCTGTATTGATGAAGAGTCTTGTTGCTGCCACTGTATGAGGAAAAAAAGGATTTGCATATGTATTTAATGTGAATAATTTCCATTATTCCATCTCTTGCAAAATAGCAATCCTGTGGGTTTCTGCTGAAAAAAGGCATTAGTTTTGCTGCAGACTTTTATTTTGGTAGTGTGCCTGCTTTCTGCAATGATCTTGTATTAAACACGCCTCGGGAGAATTCAGATGTACTGCCAACAGCACTGAGAAATTTCAGGCCTTATTTTTCTTGGATCAGTCCCAGCAGAGTGGAATTTATTTTTCACTTGCAAGCTGAAATTTTCATACTGAGGAAAGGAGAGAAACTGTTTAACAGTCTCATTCTTTTTAAAGAGCTTTAAATATGTGCAAACCTAAAAATAGGAAACCTTTTTTTTCCCTGAGAAGTTTCCACCAAGTGATTTAACACAGGATTTAAGGGTGGAGGGTAAAGCTGAGGGTAAAGCAGCAAGACAGCGCTCTCAGACATGTAACTTAAGCATGTAAACGAGCAAGACAAATTCCAGGGTGGTTGTGGCTCCAGCTACTCTTTGTAATACCACCAAAATCTGATCTGAAAGTGAAGATCGTTGTTGACATTTCAGCCGAGGGCAGTTTCTCGCCACGTATTGGAGATTGCTTACAGCTATCTGCCTATCTCACCTGCTCAATATTACTTGAATAATATTCTTTCCCTGACATTTCTCGTATCTACCTATAATACTGAAAACCCTTACGGAGTGGTTTTGTTTGTGCAGTGGCTGTATGGTTTGTTCCTGTCTGCCGCGTTACTGAGGGAAGGCTATTAATGCAGTAAATGTCTGTGACGTGTAGTACTGCGAAATGATTCCTTAAAGCTTGTTTGAAAGGATGAAATATATATGAAGTTATGAAATGTGATCTAAGCATCTCATTTCCCTCCAGTCATCTCCATCTGCAGTGGAAGTTCCTCTAATTAGAAGATGAATCTGCATTTCTCTTGGCTCCTACCTGTAGTCAGTTTACATAGAATCACAGAATCGTTTAGGATGGAAAAGACCCTTAAGATCATTGAGTCCAACGGTTTTGATAAGCACCTTAATTTTCTTTTTTCACTTTCCAAAGCGTCAGCACATGGCAGTTCCACCCAAGATGCTTTCTCCAAATAGATTGCAATAATTACTCCTCAGTATTGAAAAGAGCAGGGGTGTTCAGAGCAGTCTGTCCTCAGGGTATCTGTTATCCCTATTGCTCTGTTCAACTAGTGTGGGAAGAATAAACAATCTATTAGAAAAACTGCACAGCAACCTCATTAAGCCTAAGTTCTACCTATTCAGGTACTTTTTTTGACCTATTTGCTGATGAGTCTGAGCCCAAAGAAGAGAATGCAGACGTGTTTTCTAGTAACGATTACAAAACTGTTAAGGATGTCCAGAACATAATTTCCCTGATGCTTTTGAATAACAGATGCACTTATGCAATATATTAAAATTTTCTTTCTCTTCCTTTTAGTTGTATAAAAAGCCAGATGTCCCACTTTATAAAAAAATCCGTTCTAGTAAGTAAAATCTTATTACTAAAATGCGTTAACGGTGGCACTGTCACATGACACCCCTCCTTTCTGTCGTGCTCGTCGTCCTACCGAAGGCGCTTCCACCTTCTTTTGTTGCCTTATGTAATTGGAATGAAAATATTATAGATAAATAGTTCTATTTTTGCACATGGAAAGAATTCTTTTCCCTGTTTGGGTTTGGTTTTCTTGTGTTCTTTTTTCTCCAGATGTCTATGTGGATGTCAAGCCTCTTTCTGGCTACGAGGCCACTACCTGCAATTGTAAGAAACCAGATGATGACAATGGAAAGGGCTGCGTGGAGGACTGTCTTAACAGGTTAGAAATAGGTTGGCTGACTAGGATAAGATAATTTGCATCAATCACAGAATCACAGAGTGTCAGGGATTGGAAGGGACCTCAAAAGATCACGTAGTCCAACCCCCCTGCCAGAGCAGGACCACCCAGAGCAGGTCACACAGGAACGCGCCCAGGCGGTTTTTGAAGTTCTCCAGAGAAGGAGACCCCACCCCCTCTCTGGGCAGCCTGTTCCAGGGCTCTGCCACCCTCACAGGGAAAAAGTTTTTCCTTATGTTCATGTGGAACCTCCTGTGCTCCAGCTTGCACCCGTTGCCCCTTGTCCTGTCACTGGCCATCACCGAGCAGAGCCCGGCTCCATCCTCCTGACCCTCGCCTTCACATCGCTACTACACAACTGCTGATATCTTAAGAAAAGAGTTGTGCTGGGTGTAATCCCAGTGATAAAAGTCTTGTTACAGAGCATGCAGGGTAACTCCGCTGCACAGGTGCTCCCCTACCTCTTTCTTCAGAGGAGGATCCCATTGACAGCTCCATTTTGCTCTTTGCAGAGCAGTGAGAGCCAGGCTGTGAAGCTTTGTGTAAATTAGACCTTGAAAACAAGAAGCACTTTAATTCTTTAATAACTCGTGTTTAACAGAGGAATT